CTCAATGACTTTTGCTGGCATTACATATAATATACATATGTATATATATATATATATATATAACTATATATACATGATATACATCTTTTTACATGTATCACGGGTTACATATTGAGTATGTTGTTTATCACAATCCTAAGCTGCAAGGCTTTACGAGCCAGTCCTGCCCTTGATCTCCCTCGTGGGCCTGATCGGCTTAGGCCGGGTGCTCGGCCGGAGTAGAGCTCCAAGTGCAGTACGCAATTCGCTCAAACCGGAAGATTTGAAACCTGCGCTTCTTGCGCAGAGGATGGTTCAGATGGATGACCTACAGTTGTGGCAAATGGATACAGGAGATGTATAAAGTCTGATTACGGTATAGGATGTATAAAGTCTGATTACGGCATAAGCCCGGCATGACCCAACCTGCCCCTTTTACCATTGCTGGGACGGATTGCAGGCAAGAGAGTTGGCAGCTGGCTTTGAGAGTCCTAGGTCTCCAGAAACCAAGGCAGTTCCGAAAAGCGGGCCTCAAAGCCCGCACATAATACACGTATCAGTGGACAGTATGGGTATTCATGCATGGTTCGAACTTTTTGCGTTGACCGCAGTGCAGGCTTGCGATCTTAGAATCCGGAGACTTGCAGTCCCAATCTGTCGAGGCATGCAGTACTGGATGGACAAGTACCTCCTCCTGACCTGGTATGCCAGGTGGCTTGGGTTGAGGTTCAGGGCCTAAGAGTGGTCGGAAGAAGTAGTACTATTGCAGCATCCCCTTTTCCCCCGACAAAATTGCGATAATTACGGTATCAAAACACTATGCTGATTGTTAAGACCCAAAAGGGACCTGATCCGACGGATTGCTGGCGGAGGACTTCGCGCAAAATGTTCTGCGATTCGAAGGTCCATAGACTCTAATGGACTCAACTGAGAGAGACTGTGGATAGTTTCGCCATGCAAAAGCAAGCACCCTCCAGTGTGGAGCAGCTGTAACTGTTCATTTTTCACAGGCCGGTCAAGCCCTTGAGCGCCGACATCGCGAACTTCTTCGTGAGGCGCACGGCAAGCGGCTCGCTCAGGGCTTCGGATCTGGGACAGTATAGGCTTTTTTAGGGTTTGCAGGGTTTAGGGCTTGAGGTAGGGTTGCTTTCCGTTGTGCAAAGCCCCAGGCTTGCGAAGCTGATGCCATGAGAAGTCACGGGCTTTGGTGGGCTCTTGCCTGTCCTAAACTGCCCATGCGCTTGCCGCAGTTTCAACGATTCACCTGCATCTAAGCATCTGCCGAGTGGAAACAGAAACTAAGTCGGACAACGTCCTAAAGCCCGCGCTATCGAGACAGAGGAAGAGACTCAGAAGGCGGCAGGCAAGGAGCGAGTGACAGGGAGAAGCACAAACATATTCAGGGCCGAAACCAGCGGAGAGAGAAGTGGCACTGGGGCGCCTCAAATTGCACTAGAATCTCACTGCCGAGCTTAGTAGATCCAAGCCCGGAGCCCGAAGCCTGCTTCGTCGTAGGTTCGTAAAGTGGGTTGGGCCCATCTTCTACTCCGCCTCCTTCTTCATTTTCGTCACTCCGTCGTATGCGGACAAGGCGGGGCCGGCTTTTCGGAGGGCCCATGATCTCCTCTAAGCAGCCAGATTTGTCTGGACTTTGTGGGGTCCGAGAACAACCACAGAATAGTGTAAGTATTTTCAGGGTAATACGGTTAGCTGGACTTGAGCCGAAGCACGACACTTGCAAAGCAAAACATGATTGCAACATTCTCCAAGCTTCTTATGCTGCATTGCGACCCTCTTGAATTGGGGGTCACTTCATCCGCCCCTGGGAAATTATGTGGGCAAAGTTAAACGGTCGCTTCCTGAAGCCTCCAAGCATTCATAAATGTTGGAGCGTGGACAGTTAGAGTTGGTGCCCGATCATCCCCGCACAAGTCTAACGTACAGTGCCCCAAAATAACATCCATTTTTCTATACGATATCCACCACCAGCACCACCAGCACCACAAGCACCACAAGCACCACTAGCACCACTAGCACCACTAGCACCACCAGCACGCCCACCACCACCACCACCACCACCACCACCACCACCACCACCACCACCAACACCACCACCACCTCCACCACCACTAGCGCCACCACTAGCACAGTAGCATTAACACCACTGGCACCTACAATGACTACCACCATTAGCACCCCAAGCTCCACAGCTGCCACTACCACCCCTGCCGGCATCACCACGCCTTCCACTCCTGCTCCAACTATTCCCTACTGCTGCTGCTACTTCTGCTACTTCTACTACCACAACTACTACCACCACCACCACAACTACTACAACTACCGCTGCTGCTGCAGCTGGTACTACTGTGATGATAATAGTTGCACTCATAATCATCGCAACAACAAGGACAGTGATAGCAACATTCAAGATGAGAAAGCCAGAACCATGACAAACGGTAGATGAGCCTCTTCCGTAATTCCCGTTCTGCCCCTGTCAGAGCCTGGTCGATTCCTCAGAGTGGAGCCGATGTTCTCCGTTTCTGCGCAGGAGCTGGACTGTGTGCAAAGTAACGTTTAGGGTTTTATGGTGCGGAGCCATTGTGACTGCGAGGCTTCGCTGCCACCTCCTGCCTTCCATGGTATTTCTATCAGCAGTCCTGCGGGGATAAAACACTTAATGCAGGGACGGCAAGCAACACGGATGTGTGAAATGTATGGAACTGTATTTCTGGCAGGGGTTGTTGCAGGATTGAGATTACAAATGCTCAGGTAGAGTCGCAATGCAAACGTTGGACTTCCACAGGGGGGTAGGGTTTTGCATGTTAGCAGTTGTGGAGAATTGTGGAGGTTGTCCCGTAAACCTACAGGTTGTCATGCAATCGCGATAAATGTGACGGAAAAATGAGAGCAATGGTAGTAACGTAGCGTGCATGAAATGAAACATAATTGCCTGAAGCATTTTGCACTTGTGGAGGGTATTTTGCTCCTGCTGTTGGTTGAACGGTGCACGGAAGTGAAAGACAGTGGGGTGGTAAGTTGCTAGTGTTGTGGATTTGTCTGCTAGTTCCTGTGAATACGCGAGAACTGCAGTGTGTCCGATACCAAGAACAGTCACTGGCATCAGCTGCATTTGAGCATGGCACGATCTCATAATGTAGTTCTAGTACAATATATATATATATATACGCTTATACATACCATTACGTATCCTGTTCCCAGTACTAATGCCCCCTATATTACTTTCTTGTTTCTGGAGCCTCGGATCCCAGTCCCCTCTGAAGTTCAACGGGGCGCACTGAGTGCGGTTTAGGGTTTAGGGTTTAGGGTTGATGGTGTACACACTTGACAGACATTCACGAATGTTCTGGAACGTCATGTTTGTTGCCAGCAGCGCTTCTACACATTTTGCGAAGTCAACCATGACAACCGACAGTGTTCCTTTTTACTTCGCGGCAGTCGCAGAGCTAGTCATGACCTTGCCAGCTGTGCATGTTCGGTGCGCTGAGGTGCTGTCCCAGTTCATCATCTGCATAGTTATTTCCACCATCTTCTCGCCGCTCGCCGCAAGAGGGAGGTGTATCGTTCTGGGAGGACTCGGCAGATCGCCTTGGCAGATCGCCACATCGGCATCTAAGAACTCACAGCCTGCCATCGGTCAAAAGCAGACCTAAGCCCTACGCTCACAAACCTGCTGGCAACCGCAGCAAAGGATTGTCTTCCCGCTGTCCGTTTGGATGCGTGGCTCGGCCTGCTATTTGCCCATGCACTTCGGGATGCCATTATTGAGTTAGCCGGTCTGGATATTGACGACGGAGACGATGGTGACGACATGCCAGTGACGCTGGACGCAGAAACTGGCTCATATGGCGACGGCCATGGGGGTGATGATGATAGCGGTTTTGCTGCGGACTATGCTTGTGAGTCTGGAGAAGATGCCGACAAGCAATCGAGATTCAAACAGCCGTGATTATGGCAATAGTCTATAGTGATGATGATGTTGTTGATGATGATGCTGACGATGTAACGATGCTGGTGGTGGTGGCGGTGGTGGCGGTGGTTGGAGAGATGATGGGGGTAGGAGGACAGTACCGGCGGCTGCTTTGATCAGACCTGGGGCTGCGATGCGATTCAGCTGCAACTACAACGTTGCTCACGTGTTGAATTCCGGAATGACGTGCCCGGCGTCGCGACTGCGAAGGGCACTGCAGTGTCTGAGAACCGAGACTTCGACTCAGATCACGAGGCTCCTAATGAACTGGTTTCGCCCTTGAGGCCAGGGCTTCGTCGACTTCCATCGGTTAATCCCCGACGTAGCCTCGCGTCAGCTTTTCGGATCTATGCCTCAGGTGTCTACCTGGGCATGCCGTGCAGATCCGAGATGCAGATGCTCGAGCACGAAAACGACTACTACCAGGTGCTGCTACAGCAATCTCAACCAGCCCAGAAGCTCAAAATTCGACACTAACGGCCCGAAGAAAGCCAGACCTGGAGAGCCCTAAATCCCTACAGCCTCACCCCCCAATGCCTGCCCGACAGGCACAGCACATGTGGTCAAGGGAGATGAAGTACCACAAGGCGAGGATGAGTGAGACGGGTTACGACCGGTGAATGCAGGGGCCTCAAGTAGATCCAACAGGGTCTTATTGCTGATTACTCCGGCCCCCATGTCAACAGTTCGACGCATGCTATTGGACGCAGAAGTTAATCTTCCTAAACACCAGCAAAGCATATCAGAAATCCCAAGGATCCAAGAGCTGTTCCCGACACCAGAGCTGGGGTTGGCGGTTCTTCGGGTCAGGGTGTCCACGAGACTATTTATACCGTCCCTGGAAACTGTCATGGAACTCCAAGTAAATAGCTCTTGCCAAACACGCCCGATCAGATGCCACAATAGTTTGCAGCGGGATCTGTAGATTGGAGGACCAATTCATCTACAAGAACCTCCCTGAGGACGTGCAGCTTAGCGATGAGATGCCAGTTCTTTCCGGCTTTACTGACAGTGCAGCCTCGCCACTAAGTAGATGGAGCCGAGCCGTGTCAAGATCTTCTTGAAACCGCAGAGTTGGAAGGACAAGAATCCTGAAATGCTTGAGCCCGGCAAGAGCTCGGCGATCAACACAGAGGACATGAAGGCGCCTGGGCTATTCAAGAAGCTCAGTTGTAGAGCTTGCAGGCGGCATCTGGAGCACAGTTAGAGCGGAAGTACAGCAATACCAGTGGAAGAGGACGGAGCAGTAGAAATATGCGGAAATAAGTAGTGGTGGTCCAGAACCCTGGTTTGACAACCCTAGTTGCTAGGTGGGGGAGTGGCTAGTAGCAGGTAGCAGCAGCATAGAAGTAGCAGTAGCAGTAGCAGTAGCAGTAGCGGTAGCAGCAGCAGTAGCAGTAGCAGAAGTAGTAGTAGTAGTAGTAGTAGTAGTAGTAGTAGTAGTAGTAGTAGTAGTAGTAGTAGTAGTAGTAGTAGTAGGAGGTAGGAGGAGGAGTTGTAGTAGGAGAAGTGGTGGGTGGTTTCCAAAATGCCAATCCCAACAGCTTCGGCTCAAACTGGAGACAACCACCATTTCATGACAGTGCCAGTGCATCCTCTTAGGACAGCTACGGTGCTTCAGCAGAGAAGATGGCTGAGGACTGTCCTTGGCAGTTGGGTTGGTCTCGAGTCTCTGCATGGGGTGTAGATTTCAAGCTTCCAGCCTTGGGTCCAGTTCTTTTTTGGCTTTCGCTGCTTTGCGTTTGAGGGTTTGCGATAAGGGTGTCTGTATATGTTTTTATATATGTGTATCTATCTATCTATCTATCTATCTATATATATATATATATATATTATTCATACAGATGTAGACATAAGTATCCTCTGCGGTTTTGGGGTGACGTGCTCCACATGTCTCGGGAGTTTCGGTGGCTTTGGGGAGCCCAGGGCCAGGGCTCGGCTCCCCAGGTTCTGGCTGGGGACTTCGGGATTCTCAGGGCCTGGGATAACCCAGGGACTCGAATATCCCTGAATTAAGGGGAAATATTCCTTAAATCATATTAGGGATCCTATTGTAATTTTAGGTATATGCTTTAATGAAGGGATATTGGAGTCCTTGGGAGCAGGAGATCAGCCGCCCAATCAGAAAGCACGATGATACGGATGATATGATGGTTGCTCGCGCAAGCCATTGGCGAAGACATGCGAAGACAACAACTTGGAAGAGGCACATGAACATAGGACAGCTGCAAAACGGCGCACCAACTACTCTGCTAGCGAGGCCAAAGAACTTGAAGTTCGGGGCACTCCGACACTCCTGAGAAACGTGTCGGACTGTATAACCCCGTGCCTTTAGGTTTAGTGTTGGCATGTCCTTGTTCGGTCTTGTATAAGTATAGTCTTATGGTAAAAGAATAAAAACAATACCGCAATTTTCACGGAGGATAAGGACCTTTATACGGTGCAGCCCGAAGTGGGTCGAAGCAGTCGTCCTTCCGATGTCCTCATACGTATGATCCATAATCCGTTTTAGAGCTGGGTAAGGACACATGAATGATAAGCTTTTTGAGATACTCGAAAATTCAACGGGATCCAAATTCGACTGGCAACCAGGATGCCACCTACGGAGTGACGGCCAAGGTGGCACTGAAGGGCGGCCGTGCCTCGGACGAATTGACACCTGTGTTGAATAGGGCTCCAGGAGGGGTGCTCGTCCAAAGTGTGAAGCCTTGTCCGTCACCATTCTGGTCACCAGCACCAAGTTGATATCAGCATTGGCAGAAGTAAGAAGTGTTTGTAGGAACGTTCCTTGAGCAGCATGCAACAGGGGTGCCACGCATCCCGAGTATGTTGCAATTGCATGTCTTGACATCTGGGTTCATGCCCAGGTGTTTCAGAGACTGTGGCCGGGCCGTTCTTTTGAGGGGAGGGGCAAAAGCGAATTCTTCGTCGGCCCAGCTCAATGGCAAGAAGTCTTGAATCCCGATGCCCTGCACCCTGTTCATCAAGTTCCCACTCTTTGAGGAGAGTCCTTCGATGCACGGCTGTTGCAGGTGTGGTGGCGACTGGTGCTGACCCAGGCCCGAGGTTCATAATACCATAATCATACTATATCATACTATGTTATACTATATGTTACTATACTATATTATGATAGGTCATACTCTACTATATTGTCTCAGAAATCAGCGGGGATTCCGGGCCCGATGCCTTGAGCTTCATCAAGCAGTCAGTGCTGAGGCCGGATCCATGTCGATGCTCAGTGCATCTCGCATATGATATGATCTAACATTATCTCAGATTATGATGTCAGGTTAATTACATTTTATAGCATTATATAGAGTACAGTGTGCTACACATTTGCATCGCCTCCGCCAGATAGCATCTCCGCTGCGCCCACAAGCCCGACCCCTGCGCCAACCACGCCGCTTGACAGAATCCGGGTTTTAGGCTTCCGGGTTGCAGGGTGAAGTGTTCAGGGCCGAGGTTTCGGGTTCAGGATTGCTGCTCGTTTTTGTGGTGTGTTGTAGTTGTTGCTACTGCGACGACAAAGGCCATAATGATGTTAAGTGACAGTTCCTCTCACTGCACTGGCTATTAGGACAGTGGCTTTTCCGTAGCCGGGCGGCCGGCCGAAATTCCGCCAGACGCGCACCAGAGCATCGAGAACCCTGCACCCTGAGACTGAGAGCCTGTTGCCCTGAAATCATAGCTGGGACTTGCAGCCTCACAGCTCCAAGCTATGACGACGAAGAGTCTTTGGACGAGGTATGGCGTAGCGGTGTCGCCCGAGCCAGCACCCGGTCCAGGCCGCGATGTTGCCGGTGAAGAGCTTGGGGTTGATTCAGGTTCTGACTTTACTTGCAGGGATGACAGCATGGAGTTCTCGCGAAATTTGAAACTCCGATTAAGACCTTTCTGTCCTACTGATGAAGTTCCCGCGCAGCATGCTTGCCTTCTCCGACCTAAAGCCTGGAAGCTTTCAGCCATCAAGGCTTGCTGACTAGGCCTGCGACGCCGAAGCCACGAACCATGTAAGTGCTACAGTTCTGAGACATAAACCCGAAATTTCTGCTCCGAAACCCGAAACCCTACAACCCGAAAGCCTCCAATACCTGATGAACAAACTGAAGCCTAAAGTCGTTAGAGCTGAATATGTTAAGATACATGATAAGATAGCATAGTACATCATATACTGTATAGTATAGTATGTTATCTTATAATATACTCTAGCATGACAGGAGGTACCCTCTACTGTGCTTGTTGTCCTCATCTAGGCTCTCCCTACCAGGTATTCCGACTGTAGCAAGGAGGAAAAGGGCCCTCAAAAAAAAACCTAAAAGCCCTAAGCCCATGATCTACTAGAGTTTCTCCGCTCCCATCCTCGGATTCGACAGGGCCGGCTGCGGCCGCCGAGGAGGAGGGACCCTCCGTGCGGCTTGGCGAAACGGAGCAACTGAAGCGAAGTTAATGTCGGGGCCGAAATAATACTCATGCTCTTTTGGGGGTTCCTTATCATAAGTATAGTATAATTAATGGGCCCCGAAACCCTATTCTGATGTTTGAGGTCTGTTTATTAGAGGTGTGCAGGGCTACTGTATGGGGTTGGGGGTGTTTAGGGCTACTGTACGGGGTTGGGGGTTTTAGGTTGCAGCATCTTTTGCTGAAGTTATGAACATGGTAGTGGCCGTAATCCGTTTGCGGTGACGAGAAGAGGGAGTTTGCGGGTTGTCCTAGAACCTTCAAATCGACTATTGGAGCCCTCCTGTAAATCCTAAGTTGCTAACATTCCGGGCAAGACAAAACTACAACACCCTATCAACCCCTACATGAGACTCTTATATACCTAGTCAGGGCCATCAATCCTGGACCTCTAACTTTTCATCCTCAAACCTGAACCCAAAACCGTGCCTTTTAAGGGATTAGCAGCAGGTACCCTCATCACCCGTATTCGTTTCTCGTGGCGGACCTTCGATGTCCCTTCCGGCACCTCAACAGAACACATATAAAGACCCGATCAAGCCCAAACCCCATACAGCACTCCCGGGCTGTAGCTGGGGATCATTGGAGTTCAGGGTCAGAACACAAGATGACATGGTACAGATTGTGACGTAATGTAGCTGAGTACCGTATACCATCAAGAGCACATGGGATTTGACTTTATCCAAGGCAAAAGCCAGACTCATCTGAAAGCCTCCCTGTTTTCAGGCCCCTGGTGGGTGGCACGCTGCCGGGCACTGCAGAGACAGGCTGGGGCCTTCATCCCAGCCCCAACAGCCATGATTTAGGGTTTAAGGCACAAGGCTTTGGGTTAAAGGCACAGGGTTAGGGTTTAGGTGCAAGTCCAGAAATAATTTAAATACTTGACGCAATCCGGCACCCTACCCGCAGGCGGAGGTAAGCACGGCCGGGTGACCTGGGAGTATGAGTGGAAGGACCACTTCTCTGCACCCTGGCCAGGTATTTATCAGTTGCAGGAAATGAGGGGTGCGAGTGAAGGTGCAAGGGGGTCATCAAGGGCAAGGCGGTTTTAGCCTAAGGGGGCGTGGAGGTTCGTGTTGCTTTGTTCGCCGGCCGAGGCTTTTTGGACAGAGAGGCATGTCGTATTGGCATGGGCTCTCAGATTTAGCTTCACTGCGGCCACCTTTGCAGGACATCACATTTCGGACTCTGCAGATGAGTTGGCCAATATAGGGCCATTGATATTTAAACTACAATCCGGCTCTGAGGTTACTATACTATTTATAACTGAAACAGGGACGCTAAAGGCATAGTCTTACTAATTGTTTAGACCCTTATTTGAGTGTTATCAAAATTATGGTCCCTTTTTGGGCCCTTTCTGGGTCCTTATTATAATACGGCACCTAAAATTTAGGGTATCCAAAAACGGACCATAATTTTGACAACTACCCATGTGCTGCGCCCAGGCATATGATGGAGATTGCCAGTCTTACATCGAGCGCAAATACCAGGACTCGTGGATCAGTCTACTTGGAGGATCATGGGACTTAGTAACTAGGGTTACAAGTAAGGTAACTAGAGTTATATCTACTTATAACCCTAATTAAGGTAATTTTAACCCTACTTACTAAGTCCCATGATCCTCCAAGTTTGCTTACGAAAGACCGCCTTGGCTTCGTCGATTCAACAGTGGCAAATCCAAAGGGCATGATCTAAAGCTTGAGTCCGAGCTTGACTTTCGATCTAGACTTCGCGGACTTTTTTTGCCAGGGTTGAGGGCGGAAGCTGCTTCCCCATCCTGGGCCAAGACCTCAATTTTTGAGACATGGCTCCAGTACCCGCAACAAGGACGAGCAAAGCTAATGGTAGCTCGTACATGCATTCGCACGCTGCCAAGCACACGAGGAGTTCCTCAAAGGCGGCAGGCCAGCGGCATCGTGTCATGCAAAGCACCTTCCGAAGCTGTAGTCAGGCATCGCAGGAAGATGAACCCTGCACCTTCGAGCCATTGTCGGTGCTCTTGTGATGTGCATTGAAGAAAACCGGGTGCAGTAGATGGAGGTTAGGAGTGGTGCGGCGGTCCGTGGTCGTAGAGTCCAGGGGCAGATGCCTTGAGCCTGGGGTTACCCATCTTGGACAGTTGCCTTTCTGTGCGCAGGCGCCAAGATGTAAATCTTGACAGCACACCCCGAAGCCCAAACAAGCCAGCAAACCAATTTTGGCATGCACCCCCCTAAACCCTGAACCCTAAACCGGCAATCCCAAGCCACAGCCAGGGACCGTGTCAACGTGAGGACGCAGGGCTTCGAGGCCCGTCAGCTGCAACACACTGAGAAGCATTCTTACCTCCTGCCTTCCTGGAGGTCTCCGTGGATTTCAAGCGGATGACCAGCAAGAGGGAAAAGTCAGTCGCTTGAAAGCAGCTAACAGTGGCAGGGATCTAGTGGTAGGGCAGAGCCATCACGAGGATCAGCTACGCAGGATTGGGGATCAACATGATGGGTGAGTTCTCCGTAGCTGCAAAGAAAGTCCTTGATAAGTCTAGCCGCGAACCAGAACGTCGACCTAAAGGCATGGGTTCATAGACCCAGACCGTTGATGTCGATGCCCCGACCCTGTTTGGGTTCCTTGAAATCCTGAGGACCGCATCCAGAAAATCAGGCCAGTTGCCTCTGCTTTGCTTTGCTGTAGCAATACGGGTAATACGGGGTTTTCCGAAAATTGGGGGGTACCTTATTTGGGGGACTTATAATAAGGGTCCTACTATTTAGGGTACTACATTAGGGTCCCCTGTTTTCGGAAACTCCCATACATGTGCAGAACAGCGTAAATTTCGTCTCTACGGATGTGATGCACCGTCCAACTGCGATGCTATTCCCTGCGAAACTTGCGTCAGGCGCAAGGAATCGGAGTGATGCTCCTGATTCAGGAGAAGCCAGTGAGTTTGAAGTTGCTGTTGAGAGTGAACCTTTTGATTCTGCGCAAAGCGCCCGGTTGGACTACGCGGTATCAGGGGAGCACCTAAACCGGGTGATGGTCCTGAGGCTGCTAGAAGTCTTCTTGTTGCTATGTCACAATCGCCGAAGGCATTGCATTAAATGCAAGGGTTCCTCAAACTTAGTATGGTTCTGCGCTTAGACTCAAACTCCACGGAATGCTGTGAGGCTTGAGGGACCCATCCCAAGCCCGGCACTCTGGGGCACCTCACAATGGTGAACTGCCCCGTGCCATGATTGGCTCGCCAAGCTAAGCGCGCGGCAAAGCCCGGCAGGCCACGGCAAAGTCCGGAAGCACCCGAATTCGAGGCTTTATGGGGTGTAGTCCCCACACAGTGAACTTAAGAGAAAGCTGGATCATTCTGTTTGGTGTTCTTCAACTATATCAAAAAGCATCGGCACCACATCGAGTATCCTCGCCCTGAATGTGGGGGTGGCCCGAAGATAGATTTGAAGCTGAATGTCCCGACTCTGAAGTCCTCATCGATCAGCCGTAAACCGTTCTTGGCACCATGCTCTTGAAGAGGATCATGGCTGTAGCCATCTTCTTCGCAGCTCAGCACTGCTCGTGCAGGTGTTGTTCTTCTCAGGGGAGTTCGGCTGGTGAGCGTATTTCTGGAGTCCTGATCAACCCTCAGGATTGGCCTTACCAAGGTAGGACGGTTTATTCATGCGGGGCTAAGACTAGTCACTAGCCTTTTGTCACCGCAAGTTTTCGAGTGTTCCGCGATGTTTAACAACAGCTTTTTTGGGGGTCCTCCGAGCTGTTTCTTCGACCCGTTCGACCAGGCTTTTCCGTGCACTTTGTTGAATACTCGGGTCGTTATGGGAGACACTTTATGCCAGTTTTACTGCACCTGTGGAGCAATGCAAGGCTGCGACCAAACCCCGTGTGAAACACGGCGCACCACGGCCACAACGCTTCTGGAGCTATTCGCTGGTGGCAAAAAGCAGAAATCCCTCCTTCAGTAAGAGGAGCTTCGAGGTTTTTGTTCGGCATCTTCCGGCAGAGCTTCGGCCTGGGAGCTGTGCAACATCGTCGCTAAGCTTTGAAAGCCCTGGTCATTTATTATTGCTCTTATTATTATTATGATGATTATTATTATGATTATTATTATTGTTATTATTGAGCCCTAGACTTGGCTGCAAGACTCCCGAGTACGATGAGGCAGAACTTTCAGCTCCGCACACAGGCCGTTGAGCTTCCCTCGCTGAGCGATGCGTCCGCGTGTATCTATGTGAGACTGGCGAGATGCACATGCGCACCTAAAAGTATATGAGTGTACGCATGCATGTATGTATGTTTGTATGTTTTTGCACGTACGTAGGTGCATACGAGTGTGGACATACTTGTATGTGTAGATATATACATATAAGTATATACGCACATATTATATACCTATGTATCATGCGCACATACACGCGGCGGCTGTTTGGTGTGTATTCAATCCAGCTAATCGAACCTCATATCACTAGGCTACTCCAAGCCAATCTAGAATGGCATATTTCAGGTCAACAGCTCCGTAGAGCAAACGAGTATGTTTGGCTGTGGTGAATTTTCCATCTTTGTAGTACATCTCCGTATTGTACACCGAACGTGTACTGCTGTCTCCGCCGTCCTGTCAAGCTCAGTTGCGGTGCCAGGACGAGACCATTACTCGTGCTGCTTCTTCCTTGAACCCCCAAGTCCAGTGCTTCGAATCGTGCCGTCACATGGTAAGTCCACCAGACTCTGGGCGAGGTTTTTGGTTGCACAGCCTGACTTGACGGAGCCATGTCGGCCGTGGAGGTTTCCTCGCCCCCAGCCCAAGGCGAAGGCGGCCAAGCTGTCAACCCATCAACCTGTCGCACATCATCCATACAACCCTGTACCGGAGCCCAAAATCCCAAAAACCCTAAACCCTCGAAGCTCTAAACCCTAAATCCGTAAACCCAAGAAGCTCTAAACACTCGATCCCTGAACCCCAAAATCCCAAGCCATCCACAGCTTCAAGCCTTTCATATGGCTATTGCACCTCCGCTTTGCTCCAGAACAGAGCATGCTCAAACTTCCTTTGCTTACTATAGGGCCCTTAATAAATAATTACCTATACTGTTTTTGGGGTTCCTTGTCATATTTATAGTAGGGTGGGCCTCAAAACCCTAGTCTAATTATTAAGGCCCCTATAGTAAAGCGTCGTGTAGGGTGCTTCTCAACTTGCTACTGCTATTGTTGTTTCAGTGCCATGCAACGCCTGAAACCTGAACCCTGCAACCCCGCGAAGTTTCCAAACCCTACACCGCCCTACTTTGAAGCTCCTTGTACTCTAGAATGCCGCAAGGGACTGATTGACAGACAAACAGGCTGACTGACCGGCTGAGTGACACCCACACACACACACACACACAAACTTGCAGTCCCAACCCTGAGACTGTAAAATCGGAGAGCCCGAGGCAGCACCTGCGGCGAGGAGGAGTTCACTCCGCCCCCTCATCGCGACCGTGATTTGGGCAGCAAGTTGAGTGTTCACGGGTTGGCTGGAAAGCACTGGATTCAACCGTCCAGCCCGAGGCTTAGATTTCGTTGAAGGCCTTGCATTGGAACGTGATTTCAGGAGCAGGTTCTGACCTTCTGAAATTTCGAGCCTCCCAATTCATCTAGGGTACCGTTTTTTTTCTTGGGCTTTAAACTTATGGCTGGCCAGGATCGTGCCTGGTGACCTTTGTGCAGAGAGCTGCAGGCATCTTTGCTCTGATCGTCATCGGAACCTTCTGTGGCCAGCTGGGGCTCTCCATAATCGCCCCGTTCTTTCCGGCGGAAGCAAAGGAGAAGGGCGTTGAGGCAGAGGGTTTGGGATTTAGAGTCGGGGGTCTTTGGGGGGCTATATAGGGTGTAGCTACAATGATACCCTCCAAATTTCCAAACTGAAAAGTCTCCACATCAAGGTCACCATTACCAGGTCATTACCAGCGCCATGTCCTCAGCAAAGTTAAAGTACCAACATCTCCGTCGCCAATCACGAAGACTCGCAATCTGCATCATCATCACCATCATCTTCATCTTCGTCATGACCACCACATCACCATCACCATGACCATCAGCATCGTCATCGTCATCGTCGTCATCAGCATCATCCCCATCATCGTATATCATGGTCCTTACCCTCAGAATCAAGTCTGTCGCTCACCATGCTGCTCCTCATCATCGCCACCACCACCTCCAATCACCATCCCCATCCACATCAGCACAATCATCTTCGTCGCCATCACCATCAGCAGCATCAGCGCCAGTACGGTTCTCTTCATTGTCACGATCTTCATATCATCTCTGCAAGGCGAAAACGATCGCGGCTTCAGTCATTCGAGCCTAGATGTTTACGAATCATTTGTGAACATTCCGGCTCCTGCCCTCGGTATCCCGTGGTTCAGGGCACTGCCCTTGGCTGGATCTTCTCGATTTTCGAGCTTGCCACAATGGTCGGCACTCCCATCACGCTTCTGAGCTGCACGGAAAACACATCTTGAGAAGGCTCCCAGCCGCGGGATTCTTCCTGTACATGGGGGCGGTTTCCATCTTGTTCCACAGAGCTTACAAGCCTCGAGGCAGAAACAGCCAAGTTCTGAAGCAATTCTTCGGCGATCGACACTCTGAGGACCCGTCTGCTGGTGAGATACGGGAGCAAGCCCATCTTGGTTTCTGGGAATTTCCTTGGTGGTATGGCCAACATTCTGAACGGCCTCTGCTGGTACGTGGGCGCCTAGCTTGAGACTGATCGTAGGTCGTTGGTTCGATTCTGATGGCTTACTATAGAAGCCTCAATCATTACCAACAATATTATCCCTCTGGTTTCGTCTTATCATTATGACAAAACGGACCCCCCAACCCTATTCTAATTATTAAGGCCCTACATTACCTTTCTTCGCACATCGCCGCGACCAAACCCAGGTGACGGAGCTCCCTTCATCGTGTGCTGCCTGCTGCTTCGTGTGGTCGCCGGCTTCGCTTTTTCTTTCGAGTCAACCGCAGGTGGCTCTCCCAAAAAGTGGACGACTGCACTTGTCGCGGTGGTGGTAGGAGAATGGGCGAAATCCTGCATAAGTTTTCTTGCGTCAGCCATCCCTTGCAAACCCTGAACTTCAATACTGACTACCAAAACATGTGTTAACAATGGCATGCGTGCGAATGGCCGCAATCCTGCACGACCCGTTTGTGTTACCGACAGTGAAAGCTTTCGACTGTGTGCTTATGTCCATCCAGCAGTAGTAGTAGTAGTAGTAGTCGTCGTAGTCGTAGTCGTAGTCGTAGTCGTAGTAGTAGTAGTAGTAGTAGCAGCAGCAGTTGTAGTGCCACCACTCTTCTTTGATGGCAGGACGAACTTCTTTTTATGTTTACCGTGTGGGGTGCGAGTGGGGGGGATTTGCTGATAATGTTATGCTGCTGCTGCTGCTGCTGCTGCTGCTGCTGCTGCTGCTGCTTACTATGGCCTGCTATTACTGCTACTACTACTTCTTCTTTTCCTACTGCTGCTACTACCACGACGACGACGGCTACTACTACTAATACTACTGCTGCTACTACTGCTACCAGCACCACTGCTGCTACTACTGCTACCACCATCACTGCAGCTACCACTACTACTACTACTACTACTACTACTACTACTACTACTACTACTACTACTACTACTACTACTACTACTACTACTACTACTTCTGCTATTACTCCTGCTACTACTACTACTACTACTACTACTACTACTACTACTACTACTACTACTACTACTACTGCTACTACTACTATTACTACTGCTACCGCCACAACGACGACGACTACTCTTACTGTTCGTGCTCCTGCTCGTGCTATCGCTGCTGCAATCGGTACTGCTACTGCTTTTGCTGCTTTTGCTGCTGCTGCTGCTGCTGCTACTATTGCTGCTGCC